CTCAGAACCGCCTGCCCCCATTCCCTCCCCGACATGTCGGCGGGCCTGTCTGCAATGATAGTCCAAGTACATGCTGTGACAGATATGGCAATTTCCTGCATTTCCTTGGGGAGAGCTGGCTGAATTAAGCTTCTCTTTGGAATTTCTTGGCGTTAAAAGGCAAAGTTTTTGTACTGATGTGGGCCAGAGCTGCAGAGCCCCTCTAGGGAGGAGCTGCAATGTGAGGAGTCCAAAGGAATATACTGAACATGTGCAAAGGGACTTTTGGGACAATCACCGTCCAGTGGATTCCCCGGGGAATACCTCAGGGGAAGTGAATGCAAATTTCCCAACGCTGGTTATGCACAAAGCCTGTCTATGCCAAGGACAGGTCTCAGAGGGTGGCCGTGTGAGTCCATATTTACAAAAACAACAAGGAGCCCTCTGGCACCTTAGACTCTCAAACTTTTGTGGGTAAAAACCACTTTGTTGGATGCATGAACCAGCAGAGTCACTATCTGCTGATGGAGCTTGTCTCCAGAATCAGGTAAAGATCCAAACTTTATAAAGCAGGGTCATAATACCAGCCCATAGGCTAGATCTGGTCTGCCAGGCAAAGCCCGCCGGGGCTTCGCCTGGCAAACCGTTGCCATGTTTTTGCCCACCCCTGGTATAAAGAAATGGCTAATTGCTTTGCCTGGTTCTGAATCTGAGACCGTTATGAATCTGTAACCACAGGGGAAATGCAGCTGTGGGGTTTGAAAGACTGACACCAAACAGAGTCTGAGGTTGGAGCTGGGGTGGCCTTTGCCAAACTGGTTAGCAGGCATGCTGCTGCTTTTATTGTTTGTAAAAACGGTTTTCTTGGTGCTGCTTCCACCTTAAGAATAAAGGTGCTTGCTTAGCAAGAGCTGTGTGGTCATTTATAACTGCAGGCAACATCCCGGCCATGACCTCTGCAGAGAAAGCCAAGTGCAGACCCTGGCCTTTTAGCCAGTCTGGCTTGCTTAGGATGTCAGCGTAGGCAAAGAGGGAGGGAGACGCAGGTCTCTGCCCAAAAGCGGTGACAGCTGAGAGATAGAAACCTTTAAGCGGATGCCCTTGCTGGACCATAAAGGGGAATCCAGGTCCAGTTACCCTAAAACTGTGACACTTGCCTCAAACAGATCACTGTGCACAAGAATAGCTGTCTGCACACTGTTGCTACCTTTTCTAGCTATGCCAACACACGGTCTGCACACATGCCGAGCTCAGTCACACACCAAAGAGAAGGTTGTGATGTTGTTTACGGCAGAGCTGTCCAGGGTAACTCCAATTACATGGAGTCACGCCAGATTTATCTTGATGAAACAGACAACAGACTTCAGCTCACAGCGTTTGAGGGGCGGCCCCTAGAATATTAATGAAAACCATGTGTGAAATGTTCAGACCAATGGGGTTCTTCCCCTCTGTTGTATCTGGAATAAAGTACAAGTGAAACTGGGAATCGCGCTAGAAAAAACAACAGGGAAGACGATCAATTCAACTGCTCTCTGAGTTCGCGATGAAATCCCCCGGGATTCTGAGTGACTGAGCATTCAGATGGTAAAACACCAATTCAAACATTTCCAAAGGCTATCCTGACACAGGCTGTCAGAGTGACAAAGCCGGGTAAGTGTAATGTCGTCCTCTAGTGAATACTCACAGAGGGGATAACAGACTTACTATTGCTACCAGTACCTATGGAAATGCTCTGTAGGCCCATCGGTTAGACGCCTGTGTTCCGGCAGCCAAAGCACTTGTGTTAGTGATCTGGCATTACGTATCTTCTGCAGCAGATGGATCCATTACAGCCTCCCAGATTGCCCCAAGTCTGCCCATGCCCACTCTGCTGTTCCCTGGAAAGAGGATTTAGTGAGGAAAGGGGCAAGGAGGACCGTCAGCGGGCAGTGATCCAGACACTCTACTTCGTGACTTGAGAAGTGAGGTTGTACCCACTGTAAAAACAAAACAAAACAAAAAAAAACCCTGAGGCTGCATTTTTGAACGGGATCAGAAGCTGGTTTGGGAGAGGAAAGGGCTGGAGGAGGAAGAGATCGCAAGCCTCCGTGTTGTTAATTGCTCCTGAAATAGCCCAGAAAGTTCAGACATAAGAAGAAAATCATTTCCCATTGTTGGCGCCCATCCGAGTTGCTGGCGAGCAGGTATTGATTTACCAGGGAGAACCAAACAGTTCTCACTGGGACTGGGACTGGGCCTCTGGAGGGAAGCCAGGTTTCATGTCTCATTTCACAGATCTGTTTGCTAACGGCATATCCCATGCCCAGGAACCCTTGTGATGTATCACTCCAGGGTGGCTCTCATTCTGCCCTCATAGTAGGTTTAAGACTGGTTCTAAATACCACTAAGGCCAGGTCTACTCTAGACCAAGCAGCTCGGCTTAAAGTACGTAACTCCAGCTATGTAGAATACGTAACTAGAATCAGCTGGAATTAAGCTGAGCTTGGCGACGTCCCCACAGTGGGAGGCCAACGGGAGCAAACGCAGGAGTACCGGGTGCTGGCTGGAGTGCGGCCAACGGGAGCAAACGCAGGAGTACCAGGCGCTGGCTGGGGTGCCCTCTGAGATCGATTTAGCGAGTCTTAACTAGTTTCGCTAAATCAAACTCCAGAAGATTGATCGCAGCAGTGGAGAGCTTCTAATTAGTGTAGACAAGGCCAAAGGGAGATGGCTAGGAAATCTGAGTCCAAATCAGAGAACTGTGCTGTTGCTTCCTATATGGACCTGGCATTGCATTGGTGTTTTCCCATATTCTCCCACAATGCAGTGGTTATAAAAGGGTCACTCAGGAGCACTCTGTTAGCCTGCAGCAGCCTTTATCCAAGGATTTCAGAGTACATTCATTCATTTGTGAATTAGGCTGCAAAGGAACCCTGTGAGGTAGGCCCTGAGAAAGTGCAGCTATTAAGAGATGGATCCAAATCAAAGCCCTACATCCAAACCACTCCTAAACCTCAGTGGATTTGCAATCTAGACCCGAACATGACAGCTAGGCAGGAATTTTTTTTGTCAAAATGATTTTGTCGAAAAATGCAGATTCACCGAGACCAAACCCATTCGCCAAACTGTGAACGCTTCCCAAGCCGGCAAAAAAAACCCACGCCCATTTTCCGGTGCAAAATGTGTCCATTCGCCAAACTGTGAACGCTTCCCAAGCCGGCAAAAAAAAAAAAACACGCCCATTTTCCGGTGCAAAATGTGGTTTTGGTTGAAATTTTAACCTCATTAGACTAAAAAAAAAAAAAAAAAGTTTTAAAAAGAAAGAAAAGGTCACAATGGGAACGACCCAAACGAACAGATCATTAGACTAAAAAAAAAAAAAAAATTTTAAAAAGAAAGAAAAAGTCAAAATGGGAACGACCCAAATGAACAGATCGATTTTTGTTTTCTGTTTGTGACTATTTGAGATGACAACTTTCCATCCTGATTTGAAAAGAGCAAAACTCTTGAAAATATTCCCAGGTCAAGAGCTGTGTTTCCCACCCAGCTCTATTGAATATGGCATCTCATGCCCATCTTAGTATCATCCCCTTTTTGCAGACAAGGAAACCAAAGCACAGAGATTCAGTAACTACCCCGCAGCCATGCAGAAAACCTGTAGCAAAGGCAGGATTTGCAGCCTAGAGTTTGACCTCCAGCCTTGGGATCTAACATCTGTTCCACCCACCAGCGCTTGGGAGTGAAGAGTTAATGGTGGTAGGCCGGGGGAAGAAGCTCTTAGCCAGCATTGTTAGTTTCACCCTTGCTCTCCCCTGCAGTCCTTAAAGCAAACCCAGAGCAGCACATGTGTGCTCTCAAATAGGCCATGGCAGGGGTTAAACTGAACTGAATTTAAACACGGGAGAAATCCCTTGAGGGGTAGAAACCAGAATCCTCCAGTCCGAAGGCTGAGCACAAGCACGAATACATTACTGACGTGTTTCAGGCCTTGCCGATCCAGCAAGGTGCTGAGCTCCTGCAAGATGCTTGAGCGTGCACAACACCTGGGAGGCTGCACTCAGCACAGGGCAGAATTGCGCCCCGCCTGTCCTTGTTCTGTGCACTCACACGCTGCAATTATGCTGTCTGTTATACACCCCCACAAAAGTCCATTAAAGAAATAAAATTAAACACACACAGTCATCTGCCCAACACCGTGGCAGCGTGAAATGCTTGGTTTGATTTCTCTCAACATGCCTCAATGGTGGGGGACTATGCGGCGCCTCAGAAGAGCCCGGGGAGTGGAGAGACGGAGGGAACCACAATAAAGTAAGGGAACAGGATGTGCCAAGTTTCTTTCAGAAGGATGA